AAAAATATGCATAAATTAACTTTTTGACGCACTTTAGTTTGGGGGTCAAAATGGGACAAATGTAGTCTTTAAGTGTCGTGCACTATATATTTATAGCCAATCATTGATCTTGTGTAATATAAAATCGTTAGATCAAATTTCCAAAATTTCTTTGCTTTTTTTGCTTTAATGTCCAAAGCCAACCACCATGAGTTAGATCTTGATAATTTGGACTTTAGACGTACTTATACGTTTGAAGAGTTCGAATTAGTCAATGAACAACTAAAGACACGCACCTTGGAGATTGATGGAAACCCAGTAGATCTGTTTGAATTCAATAAAGGAAAACTCATACCAATGCCACAAAATCCAGTAAACAAGGAAGCTGTTGCTGGTGAAATATTTGGCCAACTTAGAACATGGAATGTGTGTACTCACCAAAATGGAATTATCACTACATCTTAGGGTGGATTTGATTTCGACATTTCTGGTCAACGAACAATTCGTGCACCTGATGTTGCATTTATTCCAAAGAATATTTACCGTTCACTTGATCATCAACAACAATGGTCCTTCAAAGGCCAGTCATTTACACCCACATTCATTGTGGAAGTCGCGGTTGTCCGAGAAGGTTACCAAGAATTTAATGATTTAGATCAAAAATTCAGAGAAATTTACTTTGCAACGAGTTCATCAGTTGATCTTGGTTGGTTAGTGGACCCAAAGAATAAGCAAATATATATTTACAGACGGAGGGTTAGTGGGGTTGTCTATCGAACTTCACACGGCTGGAATAATGTAAATGGTGGTAGTGTTTTACCGGGATTCACACTTGAAGTGCAGAAAATTGATGATACAATTTCACAGGTAAGTTTTATTACTTTCTATGTTGTAATTTTTTTTATTGTTCATTACCTTTTTTATAAATTCATGTATTCCATAACTAGGAATCCTCAGAATCATCATCATCAGATGAAGAATTGCAAATTAATTGCCCGGAATGTGAAATAACATTCTCTGATCGGTATACTTTTATGAAACACTATGAAAATAGCCATGCTCGAAGATGGCGTAAAAGAGAATAGAATATACTATACATTCACATTATGTAATTGAAATGTATATTTGCGACATGATCTTTTTTGTATGTTGTTTTGGCGACATCTTTTATTTTTTCATTAAATAAGGCAAGGTTTTACGGAACTAGGCGTAAAGTGCCATTATTTTGAAATATGGAAAAAATTTCTGATCTGATATGTTTGTTAGTACACATCGATGACTATACAATGTAATAAAATCCCGAAATACACATGCAAAGTAAGCATGATCATATAAACGAAATCGAGCCACCAGGCTAGCTTAATTAATGCGGAAAAATAAAAAAAGTACAGGAAAAAATACATTCTAGAAATTCGAAATTCCGCATGTTTTATTCGAAAAAAATAATTCTAAATGTAAATCATATATTAAAGTTAACATTTATCTGCAATTTAGATATTAAGTTGTATGAATTGATTATAAGTCAAAAATTTTGGAAGCTTGATTAGCTAAATTCTTAATTTTTTGTATCCTCTTCGGAATAACGATTTCTGGATTTTCATCATACCATGCTTCAAGTAGAAAAATTCCATTATCTTGACATATGCATCTCTTTAGACGATCACGATTAACAATGTCTTCGAATTTTTTAACATCCTTATACCAACTAGTATTATGAAACCGGTACTGGCTTCCTTGCACTTCTAATGCAATTCGATATTTTTGAAAAAAGGCATCAAATTCCAATCCTTTCAAAAAAGCAGGACGATACTCAATTATCGGTTCTTCATTAAGAATTTCTTTAGCTATCTGAATGCATTTATTCTGAAATTTGCGGTTTTTCTTAAATCTCATTTCTTTTTTAATCATCGTTACATTCTGTTCCAATTTGGCAATTCTAGCTTTAAGTTCAGCCTGTCCTTTTCTCACTTGTGTAATCATAACATCATTCTCTGTCTGAAACTTGATGATTCGTTTTAATAGATCTAATTGAGTTTGTGAATCTGCCATTGTTTTACATAAAATGCGGATATATTCAAAATAAATAAAGACATGATAAAATTTCAGCCGGGACGCCCCCGTCAAAAATTTACAAAAAAATTTCAAATAAATAAATTCACGAAATACATATGCAAAAGTAAACGCGATTATATATTCAAAATCGAGCCACCAGGGCCAACTTTATTGAAACTGAAAAATAAAAACAAAATACATGATATTGCTATATTCTAAACTGTATGCTATTTTCTACCTTCGTGCAAAGGATTTTAGATCACTTACCTTTTTGAAAACTGTTAGTTAAGTTCTGTAAGTTCACAATCAACCCATTCTATAAATTGAGAACCCTTAATTAGTAATTTATTGACTTGTTATTTCTACGTACTAAAAAAAAAGTAACCTACTCGTAAAACCATTAGAGAATGAATAAATTCCTCCACCTCTTCGGTTGAGTTAATTGACCGACTTTAATTCTGATAAATGAAAAACGGCAAGTTCTACTTGTGCCCCGTCTCACAAATAAGTTATGCGTAGTGATAAGCCTCGTAAGGTGATATGGATAAATTATATACATATGTGGAATTGTTTTAATGAATATCTTTGTTACGTGACGAATTATAGTGTAGTGACCAAATCGTTAATTCTGATTTATTTTCATTTAACGTTAATTATTCGAGAATTATCGCATCCACATCGCCTATATATTCCATCCGCTACTTTTTTGCATGTTTTGCAATAT